TTTTTTTTTTTTTTTAATTTGACTAAAATAGGTGAATTATTTGTGATTTTCAAGCAACCTTTTATGGAATACCCTTTCCTTGCTTCTCTGAATAGAAAGATGATTTTGCTATTGATATGTTATATATAGCTTGTAAAGGCTTCAAGGCGTGTTCCTACATCATAAGACATGGTATTTTTTTACTATCTCTGAGTTATTAGGAAATCAAATGATAAAAAAGTTGGACATTGTAGAGAAATGGTGACTGATACAGATACAAATTAAAGAAATGCATAAATCTTCTTGATGCAAAAGGCAGAAACTATGCAGGTTGGTACATATCACATTGCATCCATGAGAGTCAATGCAAAGGCTCCAACACCAGGTATCGTGAGTAGAGGAATCGGGTTAGAAGGCTTTTGCAGTGTCTTGTCTGGAATTTGGGGCTCAGGTACCGGGTCAACTAGTCTGACAGAAAATGTGCATACTATTACCACAACTAAGGTTGCAAACCGATTGGTTGTGGAGGTTGGCGCAGTTTTCTTGATCCTCTTCTCATTTGTAGGTAATAAATACACTAAACTCTCTGGAATTTACCGTTGGTTTCGGTCAATTGTATTGATGGAAATCTATAACTGTGGTTTGAAATTTAGAATTCTGAATCACCAAGTAGTTTGATATGCAGTACTGAATTTAAGTAGTTTTGTGACTTGGTAGGTAAAGTAGGTGCTGTACTTGCTTCCATACCACAAGCTTTAGCAGCTGCCGTCCTCTGCTTCATGTGGGCCCTGGTTGTGGCATTAGGTCTCTCGACACTTCAATACACTCAGACATCAAGCGTCAGAAACATAACAATAGTGGGTGTCTCGTTATTCCTTGGTTTGTCAATCCCAGCATATGTTCAGCAGTACCTACCGGAATCGAGCCTGATTCTGCCCAGTTATCTTATCCCTTATTCGGCTGCTTCTGATGGACCAGTCAACACCGGGAGTAAAGAAGTGAGATCAATCAATCCTCCCATTTTCTTTATTTACGTTTATACGCCCTCTCCCTGCAAAATGATCATTTTCATTGGTGAATTATTCTAATAATGTGTAGTCAAAAAGGAAAAGCAAAGAAAGAAAAGGAAATATGGATACTAAGGTGTAGGCCTAAGGAATTTTGTCACCAAGGAAACTTAATGTGAAAGACCTTCCTAACCACTGCTCACAAAGAAAATGTTGGGGATTGTTTTTTTAAAGGGATACATAAAGATGCTACCATTGTGATTTAGGAATTATGAAAGACCGAGTTACCCAGTTACTGTTAACTACATAAAGATGCCACCATCATGATTTACGAATTATAAAAGACCCAGTTACCTTTCAGTGTTAAGGGTATGCATTGACATTTATTTCGAATTTTTAAAGTTGCGCCTATCGAGGGGAAATTTTTATACGTAAACTCACAAAACTTGAGGAGATATTTATTATTTTGAAGATGTCTGGATATCCCCCTTAAGACTAATAAAGTAACTAACCTGGGTGGTGTTATCCATTTGATGTATGCTTCAATTTTATAAACTTTACCTACGGGTTAGAGAATTTATTTATGAAAATACATACCTTACGGTGTTAATTTGTTTTCTTAAAAGGAAATACGATTTTTCTTTTTCCAATTAGACGAAAACCTTATAAGCAGTGGGGGTTATTTGTGAATTTAATTTTCTGAAGACGAAGGTTCAAGAACTAAATATGTTACTTACCAGGTGAATTAAATGATCTAAAAGTTGGTGTTTTCATTATTTTGTCTTCATTTATTTTCTCAGCCTTTTTCTACTATCAGGGAATATAAGATGTAGCTTTGTCAGAATGAATATACTGCACTGAATACTTAGCTTTGTCAGTGTGAATATACTGCACTGAATACTAATGCTTGCTCTATTTTCTTACTCAGCTTGATTTTGCTATCAATGCACTTCTTTCTCTGAACATGGTTGTGACACTGTTGATCGCGTTCATACTGGATAACACGGTTCCAGGGAGCAAGCAGGAAAGAGGAGTTTACATTTGGTCAAATGCCGAAGATTTAGCAGCAGACCCATCTTCGCTCGCGGATTACAGCCTCCCGACAAAAGTTTCCCGTTTTTGTAGTTGGGCAAAATGTTTGGGTGTTCGTTAAATTAAATGTGCGCATATAGCCTGAACAAGAACTATGGGAAGTGCTTAAAAAATGCTAGTACATGATCATCTAGGATACACAAAAGAAGACGGTATATATTGAATGAACAGGATATAGAAATTTAGAATTCTTGAACTGTTGGGGGGGTTTATTTTGGCTTGTTTATTGAATTAGAATGGCTTGTTGAGGAGTTACCATGTTTGAAGGTGAATAGCATTTGTGAAAAAGAATCATAGTTGTTAAGAACTGAGTAGAGCAAACATAGTACTGTACTTTATAAATATATTCTTTTGTAAATTATTATTTAACCGTTAGATGCACATGCTACACTAATATATATGTGCATTTAACGGTTACAAATCTCAACGGAATGGTTCCGTAACGGGATTGTAGCCTTACCTTATTATTATTGTTATGTTTGAGCTTTGGTTCGACTTAAATGCTTGATTTATAGTTGAGCCGAACATATACATTGAACTAGATTAGCTTGTTTGGAACAAAATCAGTATGGACAAAACTTAATAACCTCACTGCATTTATTTAAAAAAAAAACAAAAAAAAAAAAGAAAAGGCTGAATATTATAATTGATCCAATTGAGTCCGATCCACATGTTCAAATAAAAATTGCCTAAGGTGAAAAATAAATTATTACATTCATCTAAGAAAATAAAGTCTAGTCTCGAGGAGAGAGGTGAAAAAGGATATTGACGTAGCAAAAGCGTAAATGATTCCTACGTTATGCCGCCCAAACGAGACGACAATACGAACAACACACATGACATCGTGATCGAAGCTTGAGTCACCAAATCGCTTCGATGACCAAGGTGTTCAAGGAATTTAGGCTGGTTCAGGCCGCCTCTGACCATGGCAATCGTACAAATTGCGCTCCGGATGGAGTACATGGTGGCCGCGGGTGGGTGCACGGTGGACGCGGTCAGCGTGCTTGCGGACGCCCCGCTCCCATTCGCCTCTGTTGTTCTTCGGTGATGATGATAAACACCATCTCCGAGGTAAGTTGGTTCAGTACGATGGTGGCAAGGAACAAGGGTTAGTTCGTCGATGATTGGCATTTGATGTCATCATTCCGGGTCGAGATCCCCAAATTTTCTAGGCCCTGGAAGTTGTCGAATTCATGGATGAGCGAGGATCGACCGAGTATGAGGGTCCACCTATTTTTTATGAAGAAGATCATGTGGCATTTGTGGATGACGAGGATCATGTGTCTGATGAATCTGAAACTAGAGGGGAGCAACAAGGGGAGGAGCTTCAGTGTGACCTTCTACTATCAATTCCCTTCACGCTTTTCATATTGGGTGGCCTTGTTTGAGTTTTTATACATTGTGAGATTCGTCAGGACTGGTGCGTGTTGATTTCCACACACAGTGTATTATGTCGCGAGAACACAAGCAGAGAAGTCTTCTATAATTATATTGAAATATTTAAGTTACTAAATATTTTTGGGAAAATACATGAACTAGTTCTCCAAAAGATTGATAAAGATGGTTTTGACATGGACATTGAAAGTAGTGATAGTGCAGAGGATAATGGGGACTACGATGGTGGTTCGAGCTCCCCAATTTTGCAGTTTAGCAATGTCCCACATGTAGGAGGTGTGAACCGCATACGCCAAAATTCTCTTATTTATGTCTCTTGTACAGATACGAGCCATGGTCAGCTGTGGGACTTGAGCTCACATTTGAAGGCTTCGTAGAAAGGGATAGTGCGGCTCTCCATTGGGAATCATTTGTGAAAGATTGTGAAAAGCAACAATAGCCATACTAGTTGATTTACCGGTGGGCTGCGACATTTAGTGGAATTCAACCATTTTCTCCACCATGAGGTCGCGATGTGGACCTCCAACAAAGCTGCTCAAATTTTGACCTCTGTATCTTTCTTTGTGGTTGCAATGACAATAACTGCATTGGACATATGTTGTTAAGCGCACCTGGCCGCCACTGCATCGACTATCGTCTTGCCCAATTTTGCCTTCATCAGAGTGACAAGTTGTTGACCTGCTGGTTCGACAGTGTTCTTAGGTGGCCCCATTGGAAAAACACCAACTAGATCTAACGGCGTCTAAGGTGGAACCACGACCTCTGTGCCCGATCTGACTTTCGTCTGGTTGTTCGGGTCTGCGACTAGGATTAGGACTGTCGATGAGCACCCTAAGCCCACAAGGTTAGGCATCAGGGTCTGAAACGGCCCGAAGAAGCCCGGTGGTGGACCTGGTCTGAGCAGACGCATGGTGGTCCATGCATTGTCAAAAGTGTGCTTTAAGTTCTTGAGAATTTCGTTTGCCATGGCTATGGTGTTTGATGGATTTTTTAATGTAGTTCCCACAAACGACACCAAAATGTTGTGTAATAGATCTCTGTCTGACTCATACGACCTGATCTGCATCATGACCTGCTCGTAGACCTGCAAAATGGGCCGAGAGGGGTTCCCGACGTCATCACTCTAACAATCAAGTTTGTCCATAGATGAAGAAGACAATGAACAATAGTGTATAACTTTGTATGTATAGAATGTATGAAGAATGTAATGTATATATAAGCATAACTCACTCTCTTATATAGTGGTGTGTTACCTTGTTGCCACTTGCCTATAAGACTGTTCGGATGAACTGCCCGAACTGCCCGTCCGTACTGTCCGAACTGACTTAACTGCCCAATTTTGTTAGGCACATGACCCTATACACTTGTTGTTCTTATCTTAATAATATTCCTCTTATATATTAGTCTGTCTTATACTCTTATTAGACAAACTAATCGTACGACCAACCCAATTAACCTCGCGGTGGAGTGTTGCCTGTGTTGAGCTTATATTCCATGCTCTTCTGGTCGATCCATCGATCGGTCATGCCTTCAGTTTGAGTTTCAATCAGTCCATTTAAAGGCCCTAACTCGACCTGTCGGTGCTCCTTTGAACATACGACGTCCTCATCGACCTGAGGACTCTTCGATCTGTAGCTCCGTTCGACCTGCCTATAGATCCGTTTGACTATATGGTTTTGTCCGGTTTAGTTGGCAGGTTTATCGGGTCTGTTCGGTTGGGTATGGTATCTCATATCGGTGACATTAAAAAAATTTAAGCGTATAAATAGACATACGATGAAGAAGAATAGTTTTGGCATAAGTTTTCTAGAAATCTCGTACAGTAGTTAAATTACGTAGTGAACGAAGATCATATAACCCTTTTATCTCTCTAGAAAAATCCCTTTTTTTTGCTAGCCGCGGGTTTCTTTCGATCTACCTTCCCCGACGGATCCGCCTGGCACCTTGACGAAGGATGGTTCCTGGCTACATGACTCGGCCCCTATTTGTGTCGAGGCCCGGCTTTTTAGACGATGGAGCTCGGATAGCCTACGGGATCTCTCGACTCCATGGCTATCTTTTCGGTGAGTTGGTAGCCGGATTCCATGGCCGAGGAGAGGACGGCCGGCGTGACGAGCCCAAGACGTGGTGTGGATTTGGCTTGGAGCGGTGGTGGTGTGTTTGGAGATTTGCATGTTGTCCTCCGGCTAAGGGATTGCGGTCGATTATCGGGTGCGGGGTTGGGATTCGGGTTTCAGATCCAGTTAGGCGTGTGTTCAGTTTCTGGGTTTGCAATCCAGTCCTTGATCCGGTCCAATTTGGTGGTTGGTCGTTGGTGTCGTCATAGTGATTTGATTGGTGCGTTGTCCAGCCGTGAGAAGGGTTTCAGTATAGTATTTTGTGTTGTTTGGTGTTTTGTGTTGTCTAGTGTCTGTATTTATTTATTTATTTATTTATTTTTTTTTGAGTGTTATTATCCTTTTAGGATTTAGATATAGTTACATATCCAAATTCCAATTGAAATAAAGGGGTAAAAAAAAAGTTAAAATATATTTACATTTCCAGTGTTTTAGAAAAATGAATATCCAAAGCCGCTGACAAATTGAAACCAAAATTCTAACCAAAATAATAATAATAATAATTATTATTATTATTATTATATTATTTAAAACTGATGTACTACTGAAAGAAGCATTATATTTTATTAGACTAAATGTTTTTTTTTTTTTTTT